AGGTTCTAGGCTTCGCTCCCTGGCTTTGCCTCTCTGAACCCTACGGGTGACAGTCTGGACTAAATGGCCTGTATGTCTTGTGGCGTGTTGCAGGTTCTAGGCTTCGCTCCCTGGCTTTGCCTCTCTGAACCCTACGGGTGACAGTCTGGACTAAATGGCCTGTATGTCTTGTGGCGTGTTGCAGGTTCTAGGCTTCGCTCCCTGGCTTTGCCTTTCTGAACCCTACAGGTGACAGGAAGGGACAGAGCAAATATTTATGGAACTCCCCCCCAGACCTTCTCAGCCAGCACCTTACTGCTGCTTATGGATGGTCATCATTGATATTCATAGTACATATATCAAGACAATCACTTCATTCATTTGTAACCAGATAACTGACCACCTAACCCAAGGACATAACTTTGGGTTGAGCTTTGGGGGGGTTGAGATCTCCACCCATTTACGGGTTTCCAGTGGGTTGTATTGGCTGGTTTTGGTTACTGGGGGGTTAGAACTCCCCACCCCCCCATAATTTATGCCAATGACCCAACCCATAATGAATACGCTGCCCCCGTTAGCACCCCTCAGCGGGGTAGTTAGGGCTTGGGGGGTGTTCCCGCTAGAGTCAGGCTCTTTCCCCATTCAAGGCGTGTGACGCCATCACAGCGCGCCGGTGTGGAGGATGATTGATACCCAGACGAGCTTCCGCACACCGTCCGCCAAGACGGTCCCGTAGGGGCATGGACACAGCGGAGCGTCGACGGTATATCTGAGACGTGGCTGGGCATGTCGCTTAGGAAACGCCAGGTTGGCTGATGAATACTGAGCAGTGTGGCCTGATGCCTGATAAATCACCGTGCCGCGCCATTCATCTTCCTTAGTTTGTGCTGTTTCTTTAGGGACTGTGTTTTCTTTGCTCTTTCGACGAAATGGATTGGATTTGCAGGTGATTACTCATTTCACCCCCCCCAGTTTGTGGCCCAGCCTAATTGCCAGCAGCTGCTGGCCACCCTCTGGTACGACGGCTTCCCCGGCTGGCGACGTCGCCACTGGGCTGTCAAGCTGCTCACCTGCTTCGTCATCGGCCTGCTCTTCCCCGTCTTCTCCCTCGTCTACCTACTGGCCCCCAAGAGCTCGCTGGGCCACTTCATCAAGAAGCCCTTCATCAAGTTCATCTGCCACACCGCCTCCTACCTGACCTTCCTCTTCCTCCTGCTGCTGGCCTCGCAGCACATTGTGCGTACCAACCTGCACATGCAGGGCCCCCCGCCCACTGTCGTGGAGTGGATGATCCTGCCCTGGGTGCTGGGTGAGCTAACCAGGGGGTGGTCCAAGCCTAACCCGTCCATCCATCCATCCATCCATCCATCCAGATCTATCTATCTATCTATCTGTCTGTCTGTCTATCTA